GTGTGTGTGTGTGTGTGTGTGTGTGTGTGTGTGTGTGTGTGTGTGTGTGTGTGTGTGTGTGTCGGCTGCAGGACGCTGACCTTTCTCCTACTATCAGAGCAACCATGACATTCCTGTAGCATGACGCTGCTGATACTGGTGACCACTGAACACAAAGTATGGCGCGCACACGGCGCGCTGTAAACACACTCCGGCCTTCTGTGAAAGCAGCAGCCCGTTAAAGGTCGTCGGCTGGAAACGGAGAGGAAAATGCAAACGTAGCAGATGGAAGAGGGAAAAACCCTCTGTCAGGATGCTCAGTGCACACTTTCCCTGGTCAGATTCTTCAAATGGAAATGTTGTTTCCCAGGGTTTTAAACTTGAAGCACGTCATTTTCTCGCTAGCTGCTGCTGCTACAAGATTAGCTGAAACTCCGAGTGCGCCTCGCGTCCCTGTTCACACCAGGATCGGACTGATCCTCCTCTGAACGGTTTCACCGCTGCTGTTTGTTTTGCACCTGAGCAGCCAAATGAATCACAACCAGCCAAGTGTGATTTACCTGAACCTGAAGTGCAGGTGTGAATACGCCTTTAAAGTTTATTGTAAGAAGGGAAAAGGCGGAGCCTCATAGCTTTAATTGTAATTTACTATTTAAATCTGCTGACAGCTGAAGTTAACCACAAAGAATGTGAACCTACAATAAAAGCACAAATTCCAAGTTGAGTGTGTGTCTGTGAGAAAGCATGACAGGACTGATAAAACCTCTAAGAATGTCTGAGAACAAAGAGTGGAATCTGCTCATTAACGTAACCGTCATCGTTCACCGGCCACTCTGAAAACCGTATTGGAGAATGTTCCAGTTCCGATGCTGCCAGGATTTACATTTATTCACATTAACAATGAATTTATTGGTTAGATGAAGTTCTGATGTTAAATTATCCACACAATACTCACATAATCTGCCCTCCTCATCGGTTTAATCCTCCCTGTTTAACCGACACGACACGTTAAACAGTCATTATGTGCCTTTGCCAGTAAAAAGTCATCTTTCCCCAGATTTCACTGATTTTTATGAAAGAAATCTTTGTTCAAGCATCACACTTTCCCTGGAATTAGCAGAGACTCAGCAGCCGTTACACATTAAGCGTAGTTGTGAGTGGGTGTGCTGGCATTATTAAATGGAACAGCAGATGTAGGATTGTAAAAACAGCAGTGATAGACAAGAACTACGGTTCTGGGGGTGTAACAAAGAAACGCAGTGATTGATTAAGTTGTGTGTGTGTGTGTGTGTCATAGAAATCGTGGATGGAAACGCCAAGATGACCCTGGGAATGATCTGGACCATCATCCTCCGCTTCGCCATCCAGGACATCTCTGTAGAAGGTGCAGCTTCCTGTTATTCATATCCATGAAAACTGTCGCACCTCACTCTCTTCTTTCTCCGTTTTTTTTTGTCCATCACTTAAATAAAAACCAAAAAAATCAAACTATCTAAAGTTCAGCTCCCAGCCAGGTTTTTCAGGCCAGCTGACTGACAAAGACCTGCAGCAGACTTTTATAGACCACTTAGAAAAGATGCACTTTCTTGTGGCTGCAGCCAGAAATGCAGATAACTGACAACTGAGGCTACAAGTTACCTACAAATAAGTAGAGCACCGACATCTTGGGCAGCCTGAGTGCAGGAAACCTGCAGCAGTTTATATTTACCAGATAATTTCATGGTTTTAATTCTCAGAAAGGCACCAACATCCAAAATCAGGTTCCAGAGCTCTAATTTAGGGACTTCATTGGCAAGGCTGAGGCCTAGCCTAAGGTAGTGGCTCCTTTGTTGGCATTCACCTGTGACTCAGAGCTTTATTACACTAGAAACACTTTAAGAACGAGCAGTTTAAAAATTCACCCGCTGTGCATCTGTTTTTAGGGGGAGATTGAGCTAAAGAGCACAGAAGTGTTTTTGTAGCAGGCTGTAAAAATGTTATTTTCATGGCTGGACTCGAGCATCATGGGAGTCTGTGGGGATTGACTCGCTTTCAGAGCCGACCTAAAGTTAGAGGAACTGCAGATTCTGGCACTTCTGCACTGGCTTCATTTTTAAGCCCTGAAGGTTGCTGCAGTTACAGATGTACGGGCTTGATATGCATGTAGGAAGTGCACACACACACACACACACACACACACACACACACACACACACACACACACACGTGATGAAATAAAGCCAAGATGAAACAGGTGTGCCTGAAACAAGACCGATCACGTTAAACTACATATTGCTAGCAGCACAGTTCTAACTCTGCCTGGTTATGTGCTGTTTAATGGTTTACATGTTATCAGAGCAGGTTTAGAAGTAAATGGTTTAAATACTGATGAGTTAATTATTCGAGTTTAGTCCCACAGAGTCGACCCAACAGCCCAAATCTGTCCTGATGAACTTTCTGACAGTAAAACCAGCCGATGACTCATTTGTGCATTAACGTGTGCGTTAGCTTTGTGTTGATAAATGTGGAGGTGAGGTTCATTTCTCCTCTCTGAGCACAACTGACTCTGCAGGCTAATTAAAAGAGTCTGAGTTGAATTAGCTGCGGTGGGTGTGGGCTGCTAGAAGTCATTGGAGTAATTCTCCATATTAGCGGCGGATATTTTGTCGGTGTGTGTGGAGGAACCTAAAGCAAACACAAACATCCTCATATTTTCAATTCTGCTCATGAGCACCGTGGCCGTTTATATTTAGCACGCTGAAAACGGCCTCGGGTATTTCTTGGTTTGCTTGCACAAGGCTAATCGACTCAAACGGTCAAAGCAGCTGAATGAATGTGATGCAGAGACATTTCCCCCCGTGTGCTCCGACTGATCACGTCTCCTGTCTCCTCCTCTCCTGAACGTTCTCTCTGCAGAGACCTCTGCCAAAGAGGGTCTACTCTTGTGGTGCCAGAGGAAGACGGCTCCCTACAAGAATGTCAATGTGCAGAACTTCCACATTAGGTAACGTACACACAGGGCTTTACGTTGGACTCATTTTTAAAGGCTTCTATTGTCAGATGAAAGCAGTTCACACACAGTAATATTGTGTTGTAAAGACCAACAAAACCTTGAGAGAATCCAGTTGAGGAATCCTGCGGATACAGCGAAACTCTCCAGTGGCATTGATGAAATGTGTTTGTGGTTAAGTGTGGTATGTGAGCAGCTGTCCAGTGTTCTTTTTTTTTTTTTTTTCCCCCCCTTTATATGAAAAATACTGATCTGAGAGTTTCTTAAACTCAGCATAAAAGTTGAGTTGGCGCACACACAGGCGCACGCAGATACTTCCCTGAACCTTTCTGGTTTCAGCTCAGGTGTTCAACGCTTACGTGAAACCTCAAATCTGCTGCTGTTGTGTAGAAAGGGCGCCCCCTGATGGAGAGAGTGCAACATGGCACAACTGTGCTGTAAATAGACAAACGTGATTATTTTCTCTCTGTTTCAATATGAAACGCTGTGAGAAGGAATTCAGAAGCAGCTGATGATGATGTATCACATGCAACACGTCCAGATATAATCAATCAAACCATCTTTCACCCAAATTCAGCTCGAAAAGAATGTTAATGAAGTTCATTTAGTTTGAGATCAGTTCATAAATTAAGTTCAGTGTCACAGTGGAGATGTGGATCTTGGTCCCGGCGGCAGATCGGGACAGTTTTTGTTCACGGCGCCGATAATGTCGACTTGTAATGCAGCAAATGTGTGAGCGTCACCTCCACCCTCACTCCGAACTCGTCTTTTCTCTCCAACAGCTGGAAGGACGGTCTTGCCTTCAACGCTCTGATCCACAGACACAGACCTGATCTCATCGACTACGACAGCCTCAGAAAGGTGAACAGCTTCACACTCCTCCACTCTCTTCAAATATTTCAGTTTTTGGGTCAAACATGGTGAATCGAAATGCTTTCATATCTGTTGTTAAGTTGCGTTACAAATGCCTGAAGCGACTCACTGGCTTGTTTGCCGTCTGTGATTTGCTGTTTAGGATGATCCTGTAACCAACCTGAACAACGCCTTTGAGGTGGCTGAGAAGCACCTGGACATCCCCAAGATGTTGGACGCAGAAGGTAATAAGTCGGCTGTTGATCTGTGCGTCTCTGCCGGATCTGTCACTGCGTGTGTTAAAGCATCACGGGCGTGTTTACGTGCACAGAACAAAGTGACTGTTCATAACGTAAGATGTGGAAGTGGTGTGACAAAAGTGAACTGGTGTTCTTTTTTAAAACAGTGACACAGTTTGTCATTTCTGACCAGTCTGTAACATCAAATAGGAGTTTACGTGACTTTTCCTGGGAGTCCGTCTTTGCAGCACGTACATGTGACTGTAGCTCCACGCTGACCTGCACGGGGTTTGTCGCCGCGTTGTGTGCATGTAAATGTGCCCCGATCTCCAAAGCGTGTTCGGGTTCTCGGTGACAGGACACGCGAGGCATCTTCAGGATCGCCGTTGCTCCTCCTCCTGTGTTCATCTGTATGTGTGACCATGTTGAACATCCACGTTTCCTTCACAGGATCCATTCTTGTCATAACAAGCCACTTTTTCTTTTTGCTTCAAACTCTACAGAAAGAAATCCAAGTTGTGTATTAACTGTACCTGAGCTGTGTGTGTCTACGTGTGTGTGTGTGTCGTTGTACTTGTTGTTTGCATGTCAGGCTGTTGGCAGCTACAGCAGCTCGTTAAATGAGTTTGTGTGCGTCTTGTTGTAATTGTGTAATCACTTGTCCTGTGTCTTGCCTGTATGTGTGCGTCTTCATAACCATGGTCTCCCCCCGACTTGTAGACATTGTGAACACTGCTCGCCCAGATGAGAAAGCCATAATGACTTATGTGTCCAGTTTCTACCATGCCTTCTCTGGAGCACAGAAGGTACCCTCTGAGCCAACGTCAACCTTTAACCTCCTTTTACTAACAAGGTGCTGCTTCCTGTCCAGCATGGCCACGCTCTGTCTCGACAGCCAGGACGCTGGGTTTGTTGGGACGCTGGGTTTGTGGGGACACAAACACGCAAACGATTTCAACATTAGCATGCTGGTGAAAGCGGTAAATGTTTGGCGTACAGAAATGAGTTTGTGGACTAAAGCTGCGTTTAGTTTTATTTTTAGCCAAAATCTGTCAGATGGAACTTTTCCCATGGATATTTTTACATTTTTGAACAGTTGTGGTTGAAAAAAAACTAAAAATCAAAACAAAATGAACAGAAACCTCTGATTCAACATGTGGAAGTCCCCATCCTTTAAAATAAAATCCTTCCAGGAAACAAAAGAACAAGGCCAGCAAACAAAATGCTGAAATATACGATCACCGTCAGGACGTTTCTGTTTTCTCCCACCACTAAAAGCATCCAGGTCTGAGGCGCTCTCCTCAGGATAATCTCACTGCTTTCACTTCCTCTTAAAGGAGACCCTGTTAGCTTTTTAGCATGTATCACACTGAGGTTCATCAGGGTTCATTTCCTTCTGCCACTCTGACCATGATCCAAAAACTTTCTCCACAGATCCAGAGGGAACAGTTCCCTCACACTCGGAGCAAAAATGAAACCCAAACTCAAAATGAGAATATTCAGTTATGCACCAGCTACGTTGCTTTAATCTGAGCTGTGTATTCACTGAGTTGAAGCATATTAGGATCTATGCAACATCTTCTCTTATACCAAATTTAAACACATTTAGCATCAGACTGCTTTTGGCAGTTTTTCACTGTTGGGAGGAAGTTAGACTGAACCTTTACATCCACAAAGCGTCTAAATGCAGAAGCACAACTTCATTCCTATTTGTTGTTCATTATAACTGTTTGCAGATTTTTTTTTTTCATGTACATGTAGGAAGAAAAGTTAGTTCCAGTTCATGTTGGCTGCTATTGTTAAGATTTGGCTTGGAAAAACTGTCACTTCCTAATATTCAGAGAACATGGCATGCAAAGAAGTGAACCCACCCCGTTAAATGATGGAGTTCCTCCTTTTTAGAGCAGCTCTCGGGCTTTTTGGCCCATCTGGCACTGCAGGTTGTGACCTTATCGAACTGTTATTTGAAAAGCTTTAGATGCGTATCGCTTTCTGCTTTACCTTTAGCACGTCTGTACAATAGTACGGCAAAACTGGAGTACCGTCCTGCAGAGTCGGGGCTGAAACAAAGGCAGGAACTAATAACAATGAATAACACAGACAGAATAAAATCTGCATTATGTGCAGAATGAAATGAACGATATGTACCGAGATAAAAATATACGTGCAAAAAAATCAAAGGAGCTAGTCGGATGATATCCGTCGATAAACTTTAGATGTTACAGGAAGGCTCACGAGCTCAGTCTTTACAAACACAAAGACCAGAAACCACTTTACTCTGTACACTTTCATAAACTGCTAAATTCAAAATTCCAGAATCAAATTCCTGCAGCTCCAAGTGAAATTTAGACTTTTAACATAATGTGCACGAGACAAATCTATAAGTAAAAACTCCTATTGTGGAGAAAGTTTGGTTTCAAATCATGCATGTCTCTGATAAAGTCAAGTAAATATGATGTTAAAGATTCATAGTGGGTCTGTCATAAATTTTATTAAATCATCTTCGTCCCTGTCCTCTCGTTACCCTCTTGTTTTTCCTCCTCCTTCACCCCCCCCTCCCTCTGGGCCCATGACAGGAAGCCAATCGATGCGTGTCTTGTTTGCTCGTCTTCCTCTAATTAATTTTCTGGCTCATTCAGAACTTGTTTGTTCCTCTGCAGTCTCACGAGGGGTGTGTGTGTGTGTGTGTGTGTGTGTGTGTGTGTGTGTGTGTGTGTGTGTGTGTGTGTGTGTGTGTGTGTGTGTGTGTGCGTGCGTGTCTCAGAAATGGGCACGAGTTCAGGTTTTGCTTTTAGCTGGTGAGTTATGTGCGTTAGCTCTCTGACCGCTGCGTTTGTACCAAACACAAACTCTGAAACGTCCACATTTACTGCTCTTGCCAGCATCGTAATTTATTCAACAACGTCACACAAATCGCGCCCGCTCCAGTTCACAGGAAGCGTTTTCATTCACCAGTCGCTGTGCTGCGTTCTCATTTTGTTCACTTGGCTATTTGAGAATATTTTTCCACCTGCAGTTGATGAAGACGCTGTAGTTGAGTACGAGAATAGAACTCTGAAGATGAAGAAGAATTAGTCAGTCAGTGTGGTGACATCATTGCCCTGCTGAGTGAACCCAGTGACCTCCATCAGATGGTGAATGAACCGCTTTGAGTGACTGGATTAAGCAGTTCATGCCTGTTTGTGTCCCACACTTTCCCTTCCAGAGGACTCCTCTGGTGGCCCTCACTTCCTGGTGACAGCAGGCGCTCCAAGCTGTGGCACTAACGAGGGGGCGCTCACCGTCGCCCCCACCTGACTCACCTTTCTCTCACATCCTGCAGGGGGCAATCAAAGTGTAGCTTTGGGTAGCTTTGGCTTCACTCTGTCTCTCTCTCTCCCTCTGTTCTGCTGGGTGATGCGTAGACATCGTGGGCACGCTGAGGCCGGATGAGAAGGCCATAATGACCTATGTTTCCTGCTTCTATCACGCCTTCTCTGGCGCACAGAAGGTGAGCTCCTCACCCGTCAGACTCACATTAACACTCAGCGCTGCGAAGAAAAACCCTGAAATGCACCAAAGTTTCCATCGTTGGTAAAACACATTTGTTATTTAAAGTTTTTAGAGTGTGAAAAGATCAGAGGTGAAATCACAGCAACATGCTGGAATTCCAGCCCAGCGATGGAAGTTTGAGCTCGCTCGATCCAACAGTTGGAGAGTTCAGCTGCACTTATGGTTTTATACAAATTCAGTCAAATATTATCTGCAGAACAGGAAACGGAGCAGGAGCATGATGGGAACTTTTGGTGCTTCTGTCTCGGCTCTTTGGACATCAGCTGTTTCCCTCAAAATGCTCCAGACTTTATGGGCTGGACTTAAACTCAGCGGTCACCTGCACTGATTGCTTTCCATGCATGCTTCTGTGGGTGATTTTGACGTTTAAATTTCTTCTTTCCACTGAGATCATGCACAGATTTCGATTTATGGATATCTCAGCTGGAACATGAAACACTTTATATTGACGAGGATTCTTCCTCCGGGAAAGCGGCAAACCGCCGGTGGTCATGCTGCTGATGTGGTTTAGAGAAACCAGACCGGTCTGGATTCATTACTGTGGGAAACATTAGCTGATGTCTCAAGTTTCTTTTCAGCTATTAACACTTTTCAAACTATTCTAAATGTTTTATATGATATTGTCTTATATTCTGGTGAAAGCATAGCCTGTAAGCTTATTGGACGAGCAGCATAAATGCAGATGTTTTGTTGTACAGTAGGTATGACCTTGAATCAGCTTATCAAATTCTGTGTTTTATATTTCAGTGGTACAGTAGTGTAATATCCTAGGCAGACGCACTGACGTGGACTGCAGCGCTACATGAACTGTAACTAGAAGCACTGATTCCCAGGTTTTGAAGGGAGATGCATGAAGTCTTAAATACACACAGAATGACTTTGGCACATTGAACTAACCATCGAGAGCTGGAGCATGTTTGTAGCAGTCATATTAAGCCCTGGTTTGACCTACATTGGCGTTTTTGCCTTATTTTAAATAACACGTGCCTAAACTTGGCTCGACATTCCTCCCTCACTGCCTGCGTGTGGAGTGTGCGCACAGATTTGAAAAGCAAAAATGCATTTGTCACAGCTGCAATGAAAGGCCAGGCTGAGGTACTAATAAGCAGCGGTAGACACTTATTTTGAAGCTCAGTTTAGTGACTTTATTATGAAGCTTTGAGCTCAGAGAGTAGACTCTGATGGAGTTTTATCCAGTCATGTCCAGCTCCACTCATCACTCTCCCTCCTAATAGGCTGAGACAGCCGCAAATCGAATCTGCAAAGTGCTGGCTGTCAACCAGGAGAACGAGCAAATGATGGAGGACTACGAGAAACTGGCCAGTGATGTGAGTATCGAAACATGCCATCTTTTACTTGCACGCCAGACTTTGGAGAAAGGAGGACGACCCGTTCGTCTGTCCTGTTTTCACCGCGCTGTCCTCTCTGCCTCCAGCTCCTGGAGTGGATCCGTCGGACCATCCCCTGGCTGGAGAACCGAACCCAAGAGAAGACTGTAAATGACATGCAGGTGAAACAGGAGGACTTCAGAGACTACCGCTGTGTGCACAAACCACCCAAGGTATAGAAAACCTCGCGTGAACTGTTCTCAGCATTTCTAAACAAAGAAAAAAGGCTCACAAACTCCTGGATCGCCTGCCAGACCCAAATCTTTGTAGTGGAAAGTTTAATCTCATTAATCTTACTCAGTGTTCAATATTTGTTTTCTTCCAAAATAATATTATTCTTCTTGACATTTAAAATCTGGGTTTTTAAACTCATTCATGGTGTAGCTTCTGCAGAGTGGTTGCTTGTGTCCCTGAGGTTCATCAGTGTTTGTTCATTTTTGTTATAATTGTGTCCCTCTGGAGAGGAAACAAGGAGAAATGGCTCAGAGTCTGCTGGAAAATGTTTTTGCAAATATTTTCTCACATGTTACTCTGACCTCTCTCTCAGAGCTTCTTCAGCCTTTTATTATAAGATTTTAAATTGAGGCAGAGTTGTATACTGTGTATTCACATTAACCAGTTATTATAGTGTGTTAATCTCACACTGCGTGGCAGCACGAGCCCTTTTCCCAAGACCTTATTCTATGCATTTAGCTTATAATGCTCTGATTTTATGTCTGAAAGTGCACAGGTTCTCTAAACCTGCATTCTTTCCAGTAACCAGCAGGGGTTGTCTTGTCCATTTAACCCGTACAGATGAACAGCTCTTCGGCTTCTTTGCTCTGACTTCAGATAACATTTTGAAGAGTTTATGCTCTTAATCGCTGGAACCTTTGTATCTGTCCTGGTGGCATCGCCATATAAGAGCGCTGTGCCCTCTCACATATGAATGTTGGTTTTCCTCTGCTGAATGTGTCCAGTGACACTGAGATGTTCCTGTCTGCAGGTCCAAGAGAAATGCCAGCTGGAGATCAGCTTCAACACTCTGCAGACTAAACTGAGACTCAGCAACAGACCTGCCTTCATGCCGTCAGAAGGACGCATGGTGTCGGTATGAAACTCGCACACAGTCGATGGGAAAAGTTACACCACACTTGAAGCTGCGCGACACAACTTCATTATCATCAGTCGCAAAGCAGCCTGTCGCACGCTAACAGAGGATTTCTAAAGATTGGTGTAAAAACTGATTCAGTTATAGCTTAGTGAGTTTAACACAGTCAGTATTAAGTTACTTTTCTGTGTTTGTTAACAAACAATCCAGCTTTAAGTTCCCTTGTAAATATTACAGCAGTTTCATGCCACCTCTTTCACACTTTTCTGCACGTATGAGATGTTTTACTGTGTTTGGAGTTTCTGCTCTACAGTAACTCTTGCTGTTTGCTCTCAGGACATCAACAAAGCGTGGCACAATCTGGAAGGAGCAGAGAAAGGCTACGAGGAGTGGATCCTCAGCGAGATCAGGCGTCTGGAGAGACTGGAGCATCTGGCCGTCAAGTTCCACCAGAAGTGTGCCATCCATGAATCCTGGACCGACGGTATGTAAATTCCATCGCGGTGAAGCAAACGTCTTCACGACGCCAGAATGCTCGTCTCTGAATAAGTGAGGCTTTTGTGCATGCAGGTAAGGAGGCCATGCTTACCCAGAAAGACTATGAGACGTGCACCCTGTCAGAAGTCAAGGCGCTGCTCCGGAAACACGAGGCCTTTGAGAGCGACCTGGCTGCCCACCAGGACAGAGTGGAGCAGATCGCCGCCATCGCGCAGGAGCTCAAGTAAGAGTGGAGCCGCTAACATCTCTGACTTCATTAGCATCGGTTCCTGAATGTTCCTCGTGGCTTCTTTCATGCATAAACGCACAAAGCAGGTCGGGCAGCTCTATTCTTCATAGTTTGTGATAATTCTTTCCTTTCACGCGGGTTTGTGGTCAGCATAGTACCTGCGCCTCGCTGTGAGGTGAAACACGCAGCATCGTTTGCTGCTTGCTCCCGATGGCTCTCGTCTCCACGTCAGGGTTCATTTATTCTGAGTAATGAAGCTGCTAAATATGCACAAGTCTCATTTTGGAAACTTACTGATGGTTTGTGCTGCTGCCCGAAGCTGCTGGTGTGTAATAATCTGTTCCAGCAGATCATTTTTCACAGTTGATAGGAGTATTATTCGTTTTGTTCTCATTTGAATTCTTAGATGTACCGCCCGTGGGGCAAACAACTTTAACTTCAGTTCTTTCTTCTTTTTCTTCCAACACTCACATTATTTTCACAACTTCCTTTAACATCGTCTCGAGTTGCATTAAATTCACATTTCAGTCAGAAATGGACAAAACTACAGAGCAAAGTGGTGAAGAAGCAGCTCTGGTGTTCTTTGGAGGCGCCTGTGCATTTTTTCAGAATAAAGAAGCAGCTTTGAGGCTTCTGTCAGGTCACTTTGGTTTGATCGACACAGACTCAGAGCAGTCGCCTGATGCCTTTCCCCTCTCTAAAATTTTAAACCAGACTTGACGTCCAAAATCTGACCTCACAGTCAGATGGTGTCGATTAACAGAAAGAAGTGCGTCTGAAAGTGAATCTGATCATAAGAAGTGCTCGACAAAGGAAAACCCTTTTTTCTTTCCTTCCTTTTCCAGTGAACTGGACTACTACGATGCCGCCAGTGTCAACGCTCGCTGTCAGAAGATCTGCGATCAGTGGGACGTCCTGGGAGCCCTCACCCACAAACGCAAAGAGTCACTGGAGGTACGATTCGGCCTGTTTGTGCAGAACCTTTTGAGCTTTAAAAGGATCGTGGTTATTCGTGATAGTGTGAAGTCCATCTTTCTCTTTAGTGATGCTTTGTGGAAGCAAACATCTTTAACAGTGTGCAGCTGTTGTTCAGACCAAATAATTCCCTCCTGAGTTGATCGATCTAATTTAACGCTTTTAAAGATTTAAAATCTAACGCTGTGAAGAGTTTCTCCTCATTTGACGCAATCAAATGTCAAATGTATTTTAAAATGTATTGAAATGTATTTTAATAAGGCCGTCTTCTGTTTTCCTGCCGACAGAGGACAGAGAAGCAGCTGGAGTCGATAGATGAGCTGTACCTGGAGTACGCCAAGAGAGCGGCACCTTTCAACAACTGGATGGAGGGAGCTATGGAGGACCTGCAGGACATGTTCATCGTCCACAACATTGAGGAGATCCAGGTATCTGGGAACTGGGAAGTCAAGTGGTGAATAAACAAGTGCAGCATATGAAACATACAGCGGAGGTCCGGCACTGAGCCAAAGAAACGTTCCAGTGTTTACTATTTAAAGCCACAGAGCTGCGTTTATCCCACAAAAAACAGAAAACCCAGCAAACGTGTTTCTTTCCTCCTTCTCTCAGGGTCTGATCACAGCCCACGAGCAGTTCAAGTCCACCCTGCCCGAGGCCAACAAGGAGCGCGAGGCTATCCAGTCCATCCAGTCCGAGGTGCAGAAGATCGCCCAGAGCAACGGCATCAAGCTGAGCAGCGGAAACCCGTACACCTCCATCACACCTGAGAGCATCAACAGCAAGTGGGAACAGGTGAGCTGCTGTTTAACGAAAGCTGACGTGAATCATTTTAAGGCAATAAACGTGTAGCTCTGCTTTAATGACGCAGCGCAGATTTTTCCTCTTAAAAGCTTTTTTCCCCGGTGAACCCTACATAGAAGAAGAACCTTTTGTCCAGTGTGTTAAAAACGCTGCCCTCTACAGGCTGAGTGACTGAATGTTTTCTGCAGCTGGTGCTTCATGTTTGTGCGTTTGTGTGGGTGCAGTTGTTTCTAATTCTTCTTTGTGTGCATTTGCAGGCGATGGCTATGGTGCCACTGCGTGACAACGCCCTGCAGGAAGAGCTGAACAAGCAGAACTCCAACGACACTCTGAGAGCCACGTTCGCCACTCAGGCCAACACGGTTGGCGCTTACATCCAGGCCAAAATGGAGGTAACGGATCAGCCCCCACAGTCACAACGTGCTCCGCATTATGTCGAGGTTTTCACGTTTGCTCAGCTGTGTGCAGTTTGTCACTTTGCAGACACTTTGTGAAACACAGACTCACAGAGCAAATGTAAGACAGGGTGCAGGATTTACCCACAGCCTGAAGAGCTCTTCAGTTTGTAGATGTTGTATCCATGAGCTTTGTGTTTAGATTAGATCGTCACTGTGCATGCACACTGCGTTACTCTTCAGCATCCTTACAGAAAAAAAAATCTTACAGTCATTTGGAAAAGTTTATTTAGAAAAGTGTTTTTTGTTTTTATAAATATGTTCGAGTGTCAGCGTTTCAGGTGTTTGTGTGTTTGTGTTGGCAGGAAGTTGGCAGGATATCCATTGAAATGAACGGCACCCTGGAGGACCAGCTGACCAACCTGAAGGAATACCAGAAGAGCATCATATCATACACACCCGAAATTAACAAGCTGGAGGGATACCACCAACACATCCAGGAGGCGCTCATCTTCGACAACCAGTACACTTCCTACACGATGGAGGTAACGCAAACGCACACAAAACCTTCAGCAATGAATGAAGTCTTTTTCACTTCCCAAATGAAAATGTTTGAAAGTAGGACAGCTGTGTGACATAATGTGTGCATGAGCTCTGTAACAAAACGAGCTCATGCTTTGTGTTAACCTTTGAGGACACTGTCAAACCCGAGTCCTCTCAGTTCTTAACCTCTCCTGTCAACCCCGCCCCATCACTGCAGCACCTCCGGGTGGGCTGGGAGCAGCTGCTCACCACCATCGCCAGAACCATCAACGAGGTCGAGAACCAGATCCTGACGCGTGACGCCAAGGGCATCAGCCAGGAGCAGCTGTACGAGTACCGCGCCTCCTTCAACCACTTTGACAAGGTCAGGGCCCGAGCTCTGCGCTCACCGGTTATTTATTACACCTGTTCTGTTACCCTGTTATCAAACCTCACAGTATTACAGAGTATTAGGCGTTTAGGTTGGCAGGGAAACCTGAGGAGAAACCCTGTTTTTGTTTCATGTGTTGATCTAAAAATTATAAACATGAAGCGTTTAATGATTTTTACCATTACATATACAATACATGATGGTGTAGACCAGCTATGATGCACCAAGCATCTTATGTATTTGTCTGTGTAGAGTATAGTCGTTAGCAGTGGGTTAGTTGTGGTTAATTGGACTTCCTGAACAGTTTTCAGTGTGAGGATTTAGCCTCTGTTTTTCCTGTTTATTTATAATGTGACTGACTGGATGTTTAGACCTTAAATGGGGGTGAGAGAGGAGCCAGACATGTAAGTACTCATCCTGATGTTTCACTCGCGAGCACAGACGGTGTTGGTGAAATTTAAAAAAAGGCACGGATGGTGACTGGCTTTTACCAGGAGGGTGAAGAGTGAGGAAACATCCAGTTAGCAAAAGGCTACTTGTTTTAAATCGGCTAAGAAATGCTACATTTGGTTTGAAATGTGTTATTTTTGGGTTGCACTTGGTCTTTTTCCCCTCACTGGACATGCAAACCTGCAGATGTCTGTCATCCCTTTGGAACGCTGTTTTCTGCATTTAAAAAAAACTAAACTAAACCTACCAGATGTCATTTTTTGTGTTTTGTGGTGGTTAAACGTGATGATTGAAAGCTCTCAGCTGTCAGAGAGGAGGACGACACCGCCATCGTTCACCATCTCATGCCGCTCTGTGTGTGTCACTCATTCATGCCACTATCTGACACGGTGGTCACTCACCCGTCAGTCTTTTTGTTCGTCACATCAGTGTGTTTATTTCTTGACGACACAACACTGGAACTATTCTTCGCACTCAGTACAAAGAAAGCACTTGTAGCAACCCGCTGAGCCCATTTCAGTCTTTGCATGGATGCTTTTCTCTAAATTTGGGAACATTGTGTCAGTTTTCAATAAAAACTGAATGCAGTGATTTGCTAATTATTTAAATTCTGAACTATATACATTTAAAAATGCTGCAGAGACGACACCACAGTTTTTGAAACTGAGGTTTGTTCTCACTTAAATATAGATTAATTTTTACATTTTTGAGGCCTTAACATGTATCATAATTTAATGCATAAAAAATAAGCATAAAAAGGTAACAACTGCATTAAAACAGTGGATCTCTGCGTGAAAGTCTTTTGTGAAACCACAACAGTTCATTGCTGTGTCCATGAATGCAAGCTGCTCTGGACTGAAGAGGACCGGGATCATCTGTCTTTGTTATTCACTCACGCTCGTGATTGGTGGAGATTAAAAAGTGACAGTTTGTGAACATCACAGCTCTTGAGTGGGTGTGGGGGTTTGTGTGTGTGTGTGGCGACATTGTCTAAACATCCATAAATGTGTGTCCCTTCGTCCTCCATGTCTTCATCGTCTCCCTGCATGCTGTGGATCTCATGGTCACTGTCCTCCACCGCCACCATCCATCCCTGTGTTACGATTGGTTCATCCTCACGATGCGGTGCTCTGTCATTGGGTGTTTGGCTGATCTCAGGACCACAGCGGGGCCCTGATGGCCGAGGAGTTCAAGGCCTGTTTGATCAGTCTGGGCTACGATGTGGAGAAGGACAAGCAGGTAGGAGCTCAAGGATTGGACGGAGGGAGAGCCGGCGTCATCGGCCTCTGAGCAGGAGCGCAGAGATCACTGCCACATTCAGCCAATCACAATCGATGTTTCTTTTACTGATTTTATACACTGACACATAGAAGTCAGACAATTCAGCATCTAGCAACATTTGTAGCTTAATTGATTTTATTTTTTCCACACCGGCTACAAATGGTTGATGTTTTGAAGCCATAAAAATTTGCATTGCAAATAAAAAAAGTAACCAGAAACAGCCTGAAATAGACAAAAATGAAAAGAAACTATTTCGACATTATTGCATAAAATAAAATTGGATAAGCAGGTTGAACAATTACAGTATTAATAATTAGGTCAACTAAATGAGGTTTCTATTTTTGATACTCTGTGGCGTGATGAAGTGAAACTGGTCAGTGATCAGTCGGTGCGCCTGCTCAGAGCCTGCTGCCGTGCTCTGCGTTCAGGCAGGGTTCAGTCCATCGGCATGGAGGTTCGTGGAGGTGTTGCGTCCCTGTTTGTCCACCGGGGGTCTCTGTTGCTTTGTGCTGCTTCAGCTCACTCTCTGAACGGACCCCACCCCTCAGCTGTCTGTCTGCCCGTCAGGTTTTTACTTTGCTGCGAGACTTTCTGTTAACTGTTTGTGCTTTTTATGGCTTTTTTCTCACTCACTCACTGTTTGATCTCAATATTTCTGTCCATCCTTCACTCTGCTGCTCTCTCTCTGTCCCTCGTATCTCTCTGACTCCGTCTTTGTCTACTCACCACCTCCTCCCTCCGACCTATCCTGTGCTGTGGCGGCCTGCAGAAGCGATCAGGACAGATGATGTCAGATGATTTCCGGGCTCTACTCATTTCTACAGGAAACAGCCTGGTACTGCTGCTGGCATAAAGCTCTTTCAGGGTGTCTGCAGGTCCAGAAATATCCTAATGCAGTTTAATTAGTCACAAGCTTTGAAGCACCCAAAAGAAGCAGTTAAGGATGCTCTGTGTTTTTGCTTTCACCTGAATCAGAGGGACAGGATATGGATATGGAAGCTAGAACCTTTTGATTTATTCCATTATATTCTCGTCCAAGTTGGGCTTTGTCCCCTGCGGGAGGTTTAGCCTCTGACAAAATCAGTCCTGTTCATATTTTTATAACATTTAAACCAGGAAGTGAAACTCTTAATTCAAACAAATGGACCCAGGCAGGCAAATTATTGCTCAGTATTTCTAATTATTACTAATATTTTCTGTTTGGATATTTTGTGGATTTGCATGTGACCTGATACCTGCAGACACCCTGTGCTCTCCCTCTGATGCTCTCACTTCCTGTCCTTTTATGTCACATGTGTCACTTTAACATCCTTGATGATCAGTACTAACTGAAGGAAGCTGATGTTTTTCATGTAGACCATCCAAATTACTCTTCACTGTTGTCTCTTCGTGTCGTCATTTGTCTGTTTTTTCCCTCCATCCCAACCACATATTGGGACTCCCATTAGGACTTTAATGGTAGTCCCTGTATTTTACATGCTTACAAACTGCAGGGGTTTTAGTACTCTTTCTGATTCCCAGACAATTCCAAACGGTGAGGCTGTCCCCTCATTTTACAGAAATCTATTCACTTTTCTGTCCCTTTTTGGCCGTTTGAATAAAAACTGACTTAAATATGAAATAAAATGACCACAGACTAACCTGTGGCTGTGGCTAACGCCTCTTCAGTTTGCTCCTGTAACTGTGCGTCTGTTCCCTGAGTTCAAAGCGCAGTCTCTTCTGGGTTAACCTGTAATTTGTTGATGCCAGGGCGAAGCCGAATTTAATCGCATCATGGGTATAGTGGACCCCAACGGCAGCGGCGCCGTCACCTTCCAGGCCTTTATCGACTTCATGTCCACGGAAACGACCGACAGGGACACCGCGGACCAGGTCATCGCCTCCTTCAAGATCCTGGCTGCTGATAAGGTGAGTGCAGAACGACATCAGTGCTCATTTTTGATTGGACAAGAAAAATACGGGAGACAGAAATGTGCAGCAGGATGCTGACCACCAGCAGAGGGAGTATTTGTGTTCACAACTACAAGTCAACACAAGCTTGAGGTTGAATGTGTGCAGAATATTCCTTTTTGTTAGAGACGCCTCACAGGTTGATATTAGGATGTATAATAAAAATAATCATGAATAATAATAACAAGCATGAGCACTTTGGCTTTAAGCTGCATCAGCAGCCCAGATTGTCTGTGTTATGGTTCATTTAAGCACTGAGTTATTAAAGCTTTGGAAAATCTTAGTGACTTCTATGACATCAGCTCCTCAGGCGCACACAGCCTGACATTTGGAGAAGTTTTATAGGACTTCAGTTGTATCTTGGACCTGCACGGTGCTTTAGAGCAGTGGTCCTCAAAGTGGGCTGTGCAGCCCTGAGGAAAAGTGTCCTCTTAACAGTCTGCTGTGAGAGTGTGTGTCCTCAGGATAAATGGACGAGTAACTGGGACGAACAGGTCCAAACTAACTCGGTTTAAAGATCCCAAGATATTCAAACTCCAGACTTGAACTTGTGATCTGAAATGATCCATCAAACACGAGTTTGGAACTAAATAATGATATTCAGCCAATAATACGATCCTCTGTTGTCTTAGAAGATCAATAACATAAGTTTTTCATCTCTATTAAGCCGTCTGTCATTTAGTGCTTTAGCAGTGAACTCTTTGCCTCCTGTTTCCACCAGAACTACATCACAGCTGATGAGCTGAGGCGGGAGCTCCCTCCAGACCAGGCGGAGTACTGCATCGCCCGCATGGCACCCTACACGGGGCCCGACGCTGTCCCCGGAGCCCTCGACTACATGTCCTTCTCCACCGCCCTGTATGGAGAGAGTGACCTGTAGAGGAGGCGAGACGAGGAGGAGGGCTGGACAGATGGGGGGAGGGAGAGGGAGGTAGAGGAGACGCCGTGAGTCGAGCGCTGGGAAGAATTTTGAGTGGTGGTCACGATGTGCCCCTGCCTGTGCCGGTTTAGAATTCGTTAAGAGCTTGCTGATTGAGCTGTAGTTCTCGTGGTTTGGCCTTCAGCCCCACTGTCACAAAAGGATGTTCAGCATCAGTTTGTCATAAAGGTTTATTTGAACGGGCACATCTGGGGGCGTCTGTGGGACGGGGGGCAGAGTTGCTCTGTAGTGCGGGTCCTTAGCTTCACCCTCTCTGCCTTCATGGGGTTTAAACGGGGAGGGACGGGGGTTAGGATTATGGGGGGGCACAAGCTAATCTGATACTTATGCTAATTTTTGTTTATTTTATTATAATTTTTCTTCTTCTTGCCGGGCGGGGGTCCAGGCTGTGTTGGGGGGTTTGATGTGGCGACTGGCAAGTTTGTGTATTAGATCCTGGAGAGATCTATGCTGCGGGGTCAGGGTGGGATGGAGGGGCGGGGGAGTTGACCAACCAGAGATAAAATGACCCATTTACCCATAATTCCCACGTTGCTGGATAAGGTGACCTGTCTAACCTCAGCTCTTTTCCTCTTCCTGTCTGCGTTTCTTTTTTTCCCCTCTTTGTTTTTTTGTTGTTTTTTTTTTCTTTCTTTCTCATTCGTTTTCTGGACCAGGTGGGTGGTGGGAGGTGGGGGTGGGCGGGGCTTAGCGCTGTACATACTTATTTTTTCAGTCTGAAGAATGACACACACAGAGTCCCAGCCGTTGAGAGTAATCAACCGCAGGCCTTTCAGTAGGGCAAAGTAGACATTTATTATTAAAAAGATAATAAAGAAAATGAAACAAGCAAACAGAGAAATTTAAAAGCAGTTTCACCAGTGGATAGGTTTGAGCTTCCAGAAGTCTTTTCTTCAGGTTTTACTTTTTAATTTTGGCCAAACTAACCATGAAAAAGTTGACCTAAAGGCCTTCTCCTGTATAAAATCCATGATGAGCAACAGCATAATAATTACAAATATCTGCTTCTGTGAAATTATTCCTCTGTTAGGCATCGGGTGCTTGTTTAAGTACGAAAACCTCACATTTATATAAAAGTTTAGACTGTATTACTCAAAGTTAGTCGAGTTTCATCTACCTGACATACATACGCGGGATGTCACGGATCCGTTTGATTGGCCGAATGAAGGTTCGTGAGGGGGAAGGTGAAAGTATTTGATAGATAAGCGTGCCTGTTGGTGGCTACAGCCCTGTTCCCTCCTCTATCTCTCTCCCCCTCACTTTCTCCCCCCTCCTTCCCCTCACTTGTCTCTAAAGAGAAGTACAAAAATCACTGCTAAGGAAGGAGGGAGGGGAACGTTTGGGGAGTCTCTGTGTAAACATTCCATTGTACGCAAAACGAAGAAAAACTTTTTAAAAAAAGGAAAATTGTTATGTAAAAGAACTATGCAATCATATTGTGCGCTCAATATCTGGGGAAAGCTGTGGTCATCAAACCAGGTCCTGCCTGAGTTTCCTGTCAAAATTAAACGGAGGACAAGTGATTTCTCCCGTCTTCGTGGGAGAGGAGGGGGAGCAGACGGGAAGGAAGCGGGAAGAGAAGACTCGGACCAAAAGCTTGTTTCTCTTTTTCATTCTTTTTTCCCTGCGAGGTTGTAAAGAAATGAACTCTGGAATTGTGATTTTGTTTCTTTTTTTTCTTTTTTTTTCCTTTTTTGTACTCTTTAATATCAAACCTTATCTGCTGTACTGGAAACTGCAACGCCTTCTGTCTCTAATGATAAGTGAGTTTCACAAAGCACACATAAAAAGTTTCCTTACAAAAATACCTGCGACTGTCTTCATGCCTCGTTCTTGTGCGTGTCTGTGTTTTTAAACTTGAGATACAAAAGAGCAGATTTTCTCTTTAACTGTAAAAAGGAAACAAATCTCCAGCTTTGTACTTTGTGATAATCTTTGGTTTGTTGTAGCGTTACCAAAGTCATTTAGGCAAATGTAAACAAACTAAAATGGGTCTTCAGTAACATCTTTTACACTCAGTGATTAAGGCATGCTGTGGTTACTGCAGCAGTTTTTGTTTGCTGACCAATCTGAAGGAAACATCATCATTCAGCACAATTGGGCTTATCCAGGTGACTTTCTTCAAGTCCACAGGAAATGTCCACTTAACCCTCAAAATGACCGTGATAAGTTAGCCAGTGGGATTTGAGCGTTCATGAATTACTGAGAACCTGGAGTCAATGCAAAAGACTGCAGAGGTGGAACATTTAAATCACATTAAAGCTTGTAATTACAAAATATAAACCCCGAATTTCACATATACATTAACTTCCCATTATCCTCACCAAGAGGCCAATAAAAATACAAAGCTCTGAAAGTTGAAGACTAAAACATTCATGATAGTATACACTTTAAAGATAGTACACACGTCATAAAGCTCTCATAAATGCATTACTCTGTCTGCATGTGCTGACTCTGCAGAGAGAATATTTAACGAGAGATGATATGAAAGTAACAGAATGCCAGAGAGCCACACTGCTAGGTGGTGAGAATTACAATAAAATACAAATTATAGTCATGCGTACAGTTTAGGACACGTGAAGTGCTATTACATGATTCCCAGCCAAGTTCAGCCCAGCAGCCAGTGAGGCTTTCTAATATAAATACGGAGTTGATACCATTTGAGTCATGCTCGGCCTGCACAGAGATTTTTGTGGGCTAAAGGAAATATTGGTACACTTCATCCTCTGTGCCAGTAGCACTCACTGAAGGGAGACAAATGAAAGGAAAAAGAAACCCACAGCACAGAGGCATGGAGCTGCATTCTTCCAAAACACCAGTAACTTGGTGTTTTGGGTGCTGAGAGCACAATTTAACATGTCTGTGCGCAATCTATCGTAGGTGTTCAGACAGGTAAGAGAACGGATCATGGGATAAAGGAGATCACTCAGAAACTGATTTTATATAGTTGTTTCATGAAACAATGTTTGTTCTTCTTAAAGTTCAATGATCCATGATTGTGTTACTATTTTTAACGTTTTCACTTACGGAAGTTTTTTTTTCCTCCTGCTTGTGATGTTTTTCCATTTAGTGAATTCCTCCAATTTCAAATTCATAACTATCTTTACTTAATGTTAGAAGTGCAAATTTTTTTACTGCCTCCAAAAGATGAAAATCTGATCAAGTAAAAAAAGTAATAAAATCACCTAATTTAAAGTAGTACCGATCACAAGCTACTTGTTTATTTTAAATAAACGCATTAACGCAGCATCTCCATATGTGTCCCAATCAGTGCACTGAAACACGGGCGTGTCCGGAGGGGAAACGGGGCGACACCTTTCAATACTTTAAGCATATATATTGATGCTAAATCTTTTGTACCAGGAGGATATACAGGATTGTAAGTTAACTTGGGAAGAAATCTTTCTTTCACCGCTTTGTAGACCACTCTACCATTTCAATAATACATCTGTATGAGGGCACAGGGCTACACGGGAGCTTGAGAATCATGCATATCACAAAAGTTTCTAATAAAATCTTTTAATCTAATTTAATTTTAATTTATTCATTTTAAATGCTGAAAATACCCCAGATCCCTTAACTTTAGAGGGGGCTTTGGGTTTTTCCTTTAATTTGTCTCTCCTTCGTGCACACAGATGTTCATGCAGTTGTAAAAATAAACACATTTTTCTTTTGTTTATTTGAGTCTAAATTGCTTTCTTGAGCTTTCAGAAGTGGCTCCAGGTGTTGTGAGAGAGACTGGACTGGATTTACAAGCGTGTAAGTTTGAGAGCTTTGTGCTTCACCCTTTGGATTGCGTTAGCGTTTTTGGCACGAGGAGAGCGGAAATGGGCAGTACACTTTGGGAAGCAGAGGGTCTCATGTGCGCGTGCTGAGCCACACTCCTCGGAGGAGCTCGCGACCACTTCGCAGCAGCATGAGGACGTGAGCAGGTCGGAAGGAGCGGCTCCTGAGTCCCGACGTGCCTCTTCTCTTCCTCCTCGATCACGCCAGCGCGCTCAAACTGTGGCCGGCCTCAGCTCTGAAACCTCTGCACACCAGAGAGCCAGCGGCGCGCGGCCGCTCCGCGTGTGCTCCTCCGTGGCAGCAATGATGCTCGCGCTCACCTTCACCTGCCGCGCGCTGCTCCTCTTCTTGCTCTCGGAGTCGGTTCAGACCGACAAGACGGCGGTAAGACCCGAACTCTCATTTCTCTGGCAGTTCTGTAACAGCAGCGGTGCAGGCGCAAACATGTCTGGAAAAATAAGGTTTCGCTTTATCAAAGCGCGTTCACGGGTCACGCTAACGTTCCTGATTGGACACAGCGGTTAATGCGTTACTGGACTAATGGACCTGACCACAGTTATAATAATGTGTTGTTCTGTTCTGCTTAGACTTCCCTGTACATTCGTGTCTGTCTTGTCTTCGATCCTCAAACTAGTAACTGTAACCTAGTTTAGAATAAGTGGGTTAGTTTACTTAACTTTGTTAAACTTTTACACATTTGGACAAAAACAGTTTCCCGTAAACAGAAACAAAATCTAAAGGTGTATTTTTTGAGAGTATTTTTTATTTTGAGTATTTTTGAGAAAAATTAACCAAAACTGCAGTAACGTTATGTCTAAGAGCTACCAAAGTGAGTTGTATCACATAAACAACACACGTTAAAGATGAAAAGTGAACAAAACTAACCGCACAGCAGGATTTCATGTGATGTTATGATACAGTCAGATCCCGCAGATTTTAAATAGGATCTAAAGAGGAAAATGTATGAATTTATAATTGATGCACATTTAAGCAGATCACTTCCACCTTACAAGACTCACAAAGTAACCTTATATTAGACAGAATTATCAGCTCTTCACAGGTGAATGCAAAGGACAGAAAACGGATCAAGTGCAGTCATATAAATATCTTTCAACCATAATCAATGACATACTCAATTTTCATGAGAATTGCAAATCGGTCTGCAAAAAGGTCGCCACACCTTTACAGCCTCAGGAAACTCGATCATTTTCACACTGACTGAACAATTTGAAATTTCTTTTATCGTTCTTATATTCAGTCTGCTTTATCTTTTTGCTTGGTGGCATGGTTCGGTCAGACCTGAATCGGACAGTGAGATGCTCCAGTCGTCTCATAGGCGAGTCACAGCCCTGTTTAGCCTCCCTGTACTCTAAACAGGTACGACAGATGGCTTTATCAATTCTGAATAATGGTTCCCATCTTCTACAGGGTGAATTTTTCTTTTTAAATTAAAGAAAAAGTTTCTTTTATCTTGTCTACTTACCAAATATGTGTCTATCACGTTTAAATAGGCCTGTGTGTTAGTGAAGGGATGCCAAATGCTATCATATTCCTGTAAAGAAAATTTGCCTACGGGTATAAATAAAGTAACCTTGGAGGGCAGGACAGCAGATCATGTCCATGATGCACACTTTATTAGCTACACCAGGCTAGTACTGGGTTTGGTCCATATTGACATGGCACAGTGAGCTTGTTGTCATGTTCAAGAAACCTGTGTTTTATGGCATGGTGTGTTATCCTTAAGTAGCTGTCAGAAGATTTTATCTGGTCGTAAATGGATGGAAATGGTCAGCAGCAACACTCAGGTAGTACTAAGGACCCTGAAGTGTGCCGTGAAAACATCCCCCACACCATTACACCTTTGCCACCAGCCTGAACTATTGATATGAAGCAGCTTTCCTTTTGTTTATTGTTGACCCTACCATCTGAATGTTGCAGTAGAAATTGAGACCCAACAGATCAGATGACATTTTCCAGTCTTCTGTTCTTCTGGAGAGTTTTCTGCTCTTAGCTGGCAGGAGTGACGTCTGCTGCTTTAAGGTCCGATGTACTGAGTCTTCAGAGCTGCTCTTCTGCACACCTTGATTGTAACGACTGGGTGACTTTGAGTTACTGTTGATCTGAGCTTCCTATCAGCTCAGAGCGCTCTGATCATTCTCCTCAAACGTCTGTCTTCAAAAAAGTGCATCACTGGATGTTTTCTCTTTTTTGGATGATTCTTGTTCATGTTTGTTCCTTTTGTGAAAGGTCTGTGAAATTAATTCATCATCAGGTGGAAAAACAGCCATTATTTCAGATATGTTTGTAAGGTACCGGTAGTTACTCAGTATCTAACCCGGACTCTGGCCTAAAAACCTTTAAAGTCAAAAGTTTATCAAGGTAATAGGTACAAGCCATTTTTAAAAACGTGCATTTATGAGGCATTTAATAGGCCATTACATTTGATATGAAAGAGGATTGACTATATTCCATAAAAGTTGTTGGCGAGCTTCTTGGAAAATTGCAGGTCTTGGGTGGAACAATAGTATTAAAGACTTTAGTTTTATTGCTTTTGAACTACTAGCCTTGAGTTTTATTCACATTTGTATGTTTCATGCAGATACCAACAACCGTAAGATTTAGTTTGATTTGTTGGACTTTAACTGAAAATATCTGCATGTGTACTCACAAATTAGCTGCTTTTGTGAAAGAGTATCATTCCTCTAAAATGTAAAGGTTAGTTTTCTCAAAGAAAAGTAAACCAAAGTCGACCCCTTTACACCAAAATTCTACCCAAGCTTAAATCTTCCAGGAGGACCAAGTTAAAAAAACACAAACGGAGCTGCAGCGGCAACAGCGCTTTTAGTGTGGGTAAGAAAAAAAATCTTGCAGCTGCTAAATGTTAAAAAGTGTTTTATCTGTGTAATTGAGTATTACTGTTCAGGGACTGGCCACTAACAGCAATGCCACAGTGGGTCTAAACTGTCTGGTTTTATCATCTTCATAATCGCTTTAGTCAAAGCGAGCAGTCGTGACACGGCCTCAGAGGAGCGTTTGTATTATTCTCTTTATTCTGGCCCACACGATGTTTATATTCAGCATAAAGACATTCATTAATCGGGTTGATTTAGTAGTTGTCCAGGGTTTGTGAGAGCTCCCTGGAGAGCAGGAGGGTAGGACCAGCCAGCAGGACCACACCACACACACACACACACACACACACACACACACACACACACACACTCTGCGCTGCCAGGCAAATATTTAAGCTGCTACTCATGGGAGATAGACAGGTGTGTGTGTGAGAGAGAGAGAATGAAAAACAGCCCCAGTAATCCTGCCATATATTTTACAGTGTGCTAGACAAATATCAGCTATACACTGTGAGTGCGTGTATAAATATTATAGAACATGAAATATGGCACGCTGACTAAAGTCACTGCACACTGCCAGAGGCACTCTGAATAGAAATACTTCAGTGCTAACATGGGGGGTAAAAAACAGAGCAACAGTGTTACGTTCTAAAAACTACTATTTGGAATAAAGAAATAATGCAAGAGGCCAGCTGGAAGTTTACCTGAAAATACCATTTCAATGTTTCTGACTACTGGTATTCCTATTCAGCTCAGTACAATTCAGTTTTACTTATATATACTTATATATACAAACGGCTTCGTTTTCAGGAGTGAAATAAAAAACAGATTGGCACTGATGGCCTCTTTCCAGATGTGCAAACTGCCAATTCCATGCACGCCTTTTAAACCGAGCACTGATAACGAGCCACATGATCCCTCTTCTCTTTGGGCCAGAGGACACGGTGTCCATGTTTCAAAAGAAAACAAAAACCTGTTTGATTATTCTGAACAGTTTTCCACTTTGCCTGAGTCCATTTGAAATGAGCTTTGGTCCAGCAGTGTTTCTGGATCATGTGCACATACGGCTTCTTTGCATGGCAGAGCGCTACCCTGCATGTGTGGATGGAGAGGTGCACTGCAGATGATAAACATTCAAGCCTTCATAGTTTTACATTGGGAAGCAATGTTTTGAAATTGTTCCTCAATTTTTAGATGTGTTTTTTGTCGACTGGTCAATCTCTGTCCATGTTTACGTCTGAGAAACCCTGCCTCTCTGTGATGCTCTTTTTATAACCACTAATTTTACTGATGGGGTCATAATTAACCTAATTAGTTATAAAATGTCTCAGTTTAAACATTTGATATGCTTTTTATTTTTAGTCATGTTTATGAGATTTGCAGATCATGACATTTACATTTTACAAAGCGTCCAAACTTTTTTGGAATTGGGGGGCTTGGGTCCTGGTTGGTGTGTTGCCGGGGTTATGGGCGGGTGGGTGTATGGGGCCGCAGCCCTGGCACAGGGTGCTGCCAGTGCATCGAGCCACATGGGGGGCTCTTCAACTGGTGGGGGAGGCTGTTACATCTTGCAGGAGCTTTCCTCTCTTCAGGAACTCACTCTGCAGGAGGGGGGAGATACATACATAATAATAATGTTTAATATTTAGATCATCGTGATGTTGTTTATTATATTGCTCTTTTTTTTTTCTTCTGCTTGTTTTCTTTTTTCTTTCTCAGCAGGTGATCCAGGTGATTGATATATTTATTTTTTGTCTGCTTATTTTGTTGTTTTGTTTTTTGCCCTTTATCCCCGTCCCTCTTCCCTGCTGTTTTTCTTTCCCTCTTTCTTTCCCCCAGTCAAGTCTGTCCCGTATTTAGCAAGTGAAAATAAAATAAACAATAAAAGGTGAATCAAATAGACCATTATGGCAAGGCTGGAATGGTCCGTTTGGTAAAGTAAATCCGTTGGGCATCTTTCTTCGCCTTTAGACAATAATTCTGATGCAAAAGAGCCAAACGGGACAGGAAAAAGAAAAAAAAAAAAGGAATTGGGGTTGTGATGTCTCAAGAAATCAAAAATGTCTCTTCCAGTTATAAAGAATTAAAACTACATTGTTAATAATAGCATCAATAAAATAACTTTTAACATTGTATATTGTTTTAGGTTTCCCACTGGTGCCTGAATGCATCGTCATAATAGAGTTTAAAAAAATATCTCTGCATTTGTAAAGTTTCTGTCTTCTTTCTGCTCGCTGTTTCCTGCTGGACTGGATAGAAGACTGTACCATAAAAACCCTGACAGTGTTTGACAGCAGCCTGGCCTCTGAGTGAGCCCCTGGCATGCTGTAAAATCCTGACAGAGGCTGTAGTTGTAGTTGGTGAATGATGAATGATGACAAGAAGTGATGTCCCTGCAGCTCAGGCTGGAAGATGCTGAACTTGACCCACAACATCTCCTGTGGGAGTCCAGCTGTCCCGTACCTCCTTCTCTGTTTTTTGTTTTTTTTTTTGTATTAGTGCTTTTTACGAGGGATATAATATCTTTATAAATAAGATCTCTATGTTGAGATAATGTGTTTGGATTTTACAGTATTAGGGCCATAACCAGATACAAAAATTCACAAAGACATCAAAGGAAATTCGTACATAAACTAAACGGTCTTTTACTTCTTAACGAGATGTCCTACACGATCACTGAACGAGAATATGTGCAAGAAGAAAATTCTCCATTTTGGAATCAGTTTTATTAAAGTCTGCAGGGCGTCCTACTTGCAGAACTGTAATGAAAATGTAGTATGTTGCTTGACTAAACATAATAAAAGCTAAACCAGTTTATGTGTTAACTTTTCGTGGACCAGATTGTATGAGAAAGCTGTGTAGGGCATTTAAAGCCAATAAATGATACGAAGCTGGACGGTGATGTTGGTCTCATCTCCCCGTGCGGCTGTGAGTCTGGAAACTGTAAAACAGCGAATGAGAATTTGGCTGGTGCTACAAATTCAGAGGCGTGTGGATATTCCGGTGTCTGATTGCTTTAATTCCCCCACCAGAGTCAGTCATTCATGTCCTCTGCTCTCACTGGTAGTTGCTTTAGGCAACTATTCCTCCTCACTGAAAGCAGCCAGTTGAGATGGTTCGGGCGTGCCTCCTGGATGCCTGGGGAGATTTTTCAGGCAACTCTAGTTGGGAGGAAATCCCAGGATGGACCCATGACACGCTGGAGGGATTACATCTCTAAACTGGCTCAGTGTCCAGCGAGAAGAGCTAGAGGAGGTGACAGGGGAGAAGGTGTCTCACCTGATAAACAGCAGAAACTGGATGTATGGTTTGAAATATACAAAAGAGCTGGTCTCCTCCAGTCGCACCATATGTATGTGTAGCAGTGTGATGGTATGCGTCTTCTCAGGGAATGCATGAAGAAAACAAGGTGATGTTTGTGCACACACATCTGCACCTGAGATGTAAACATGTCATCATCATTCATCTGTGTGTGTTTGCCCTTTAATGACCTGCTGCATAAATGAAATTCAGACTTTAAAAAAAAATGCTAAGTGAGTGATTCCCCACGACACAGGCAGTTTGTTCTGACGCTAAATCCCAGCTCGGGGTGTTAACAGGCCTTTCGTCAGCATCAGCTGCTCTCTCACGCCAAACATCACACGGCAAAGCTCAGGAGATGAGTTTTTCTGTTTTCCTACAGCCGCCACTCTGAGGAATCTGGAAGGTGCGAGGCAGGAGGAGACAGTGGCAGCTTGTTCTCACTTTCTCTGCTGCTCGCACACACTCAGGCTCGAGTTTACAAGGCCAGAAACATTGATGCGAATCATTTTAACACTGAGGAGTCGTTGGTGTAGTTGTGCCTGACAGACAGGAAAGCCAGTCTACCAGCTAGACTCCTGCTCCACCCTTCAATCCTCTTGCACCTCCTCTAGGCTTCTTTTTCACTAATAAGTTTTTATTTTTTCTCTGTCCTCAAATTAATTTTTTTATTCCTTTCATAACTAAAAACATATTTTTTATTCATCATTTATTCCCTTGGCAGTGTTTTATTCATTTATTATTTTTTCTTAATTGCCTCGTTCTCTTCCAGGATGCGTTCCTCTCATTCTTCCTTTTGTCCTCCGTGTAAAATCCACGACTCACTCTGACCTCTTCTGAATCAGCTGATTGAGTTCGTAGCGTTCAATTTTTTACCTTCATTTCTGAGTCACCGGCTGTTGAATTACTCAGGGACGATGCAAACATCACAAACTACATTGTGGGTAAATGTCCAAGGATCATATCAACATGTGGAATTGGTGGCTGGCCTAAACACGTCATATCATAACGTGCGTGAACAAATACCCCACAAATCTCAATGAACTGAATCAACACCAACGAAGTGTGGACCCCTAATACCTAAATTATTACATTTGCAAAGCCACGTCATAACAGTCTGCATAAAACCAGCAAATGATTGACATGTTTGCTCACTAAAATAACTTAATTGGTCGTGTTTGCTCTTGTGTCTGAGGAGAGAGCAGCAGCAAAGCTTTATTTGTTCGCTCTGTTTGTGTATCTTGATTTGTTCACATTAATTAATGTCCTGGCATTAAGGCACAGAGGCCTCATTCACCACTAAATTATGTCAGCAATGTTTGACACACCATAGCAAATTTACCCGTGTGTCTCAGAGTGTGTGTGAGGAGAGAGGGGAGGCCAGCTGACAAAGAGGCTCTGATGAAGAGCGAGAGGGTGGAGTTAGCAGCCAACTCTGTATGTATTGTATAGGCGTGAGCTGAGTGTGCACCACCTTGTATGTTTGGGGACTTTTCGGTGAGTCTGCGAGGCGGTGTGAGGAATCTGTGTGTATTTAAATAGAGATGTGTGTGATTGTGACTTGAGAGTGGGCTTTAAGGCTCATGTGGGAGTAATTTAGGTCATCGCACTCACCAGATTCTCCATGAATCAATGCCTCTTCTCCTCCCTTTTCCTCTCTCTTTGTCACAAGTTTACATATTGTGCATTCTCAGTATCTTTGGAAGAATTTGCTCTGAAGGTTTGTCTGTTATATCTGATCATGCACAACAAATTCACAAGGATTTTTCTTCTGGGGCCTTTCTGATCCCCAGTGTCTCGAATGTACCTCTTCTGGTATGTTTGAGTGGTGCCCAGTAAAATGCAGTAGCAGTATTAGTCCTGTAAATTGTATTTTCATGGCAGTGTAAAAACGTCAGAATTATTTTGGAAGCAGTTTGGTGAATTGTGAAAGATTAGCATAAATTGTACGGCTCAGAAAAGAGGAAACTGTGGTGTGCAGTCTAAATAGCTTTTGGCCATGTTTCCACTGCCTTCTTAGAGCTTTTAATGAGAGTTCTTCCAAAATATTATGCTGCTTGTCACAGACTCATTTTTCATTCATTATATTTACCTTGAAAATTAAAAAAAAAAAAAAAAATCACTTAATGCACCTTAAAGTCTCCCCGTGAGGCACAGAGCCAATCACAGCTCCTAGAAGAAATGGAGACTGTGCAGGAAGAATCAGAAAGACTTTATTTATCCCCAAGGCGCAATTAACATACAACAGAGCAGTTAAAGATAAGAACAATAAGAACAGGCAATAAGACTGAGATAATAAATACACAGAATATACCGTTTTAAAATTACACAGTTTAAAATGAAAGTGACTGAAAGGTGAATAAATAACTATAAAAGTTGCCATTCTCCCTCAGTTAATAAAGTTTCTCCACTCAGTTTGCAAAGCTGGAGCCAGTTTACAGGTAAAACTGCAGGTGTGAGAAAGACACGCTCCGTAACGGCCTTTCCCGACACATTTATGAGGCCGTTTATTCTCTTTCCTCTCACTCGTTTTCTTTTAAGGAGTGACTTTAATAGTCAGACAAAGTTCTGGTCACTTTATCCTTCACAGCTGTAGCGTGACGATCTGCCAAAAGGAGACAGCGACTATAAATACACAGAGAGGTGACACACTTGGAGGACACAGCTGAACTAAATCAGGATAAGATGACAAGGGGAAGTAAAGCTAAAACATGCACCAGACACAGTCTATCAATAGAAAGTAGGATGTAACAAGACAGAAAAACACCAAGCACAGAGACTTTTAAATGAGATACAAGGACACAGGAGAGAGAAACTGAAAACTCATAGACGGATATGAACAAACTATAACCGTGAGCAGGATTCCACCACCACCTCTTCACAGACGGCTGACAGGTTGAAGCTTTAAAACCTCTTTTTACTCTCTTTTCTCTTCATAGTGTGTTTATAACTGACATGACAATCAACGTACACTCTAAATGTTTCCTGTTTGCAGCCCTTCCTGATCACAGAGAACATGTGGCCTCGTGGTTGTGTGCTGGACTGCCAGAGGGGGCGCCACAGACCTGTGTGTGGCAGCAATGGCAGGCTGTATAAATCGCTGTGTGCCTTTCAGAGGGCACAGTGCATCAACACACAGCTCCGCCACGTCCCACGGGGACACTGTGCAGGTACAGGGCTTTACAGCGACATCATCACAAGCTGTTCTTAATGTTTCCCATGATGCTCTGGTGGTGAGTTTACTGGCTTAAAAAATCGGAACTGAAATAAACTTTTCTCATGTTTCTATCTGAATTTGAGCTGCTTTATATCACGAGTACAAAAAGACGCCTGTTATTAATCAGCTGTAGTTTCCTGCCACCTCTGCCTGCTCTTAATGACTGTTTTAATCTTAAACCGGGAGCATAAATAAACAGACACCACTGTGCTCCTGTCCTTCATTCAATCAGCTTAAAATGTTCTTCCCAAGTGAATCAACTCAGTCAATAGAAACATTCTTCTTAAATTAACAATGACTACTTTTTATTGGTCGGCAGAGCAACGGTATGCACATCTGTGTCATCAGGATTCATGATTTCCACTCTTCCCATCTATAGCAGCACACGTGGATACTAATTTCCTCTGTTTTAGATCCGTTGCAGACTAAATGCCAGCTGGCCCGAGCTCAGGGCCTTGAGGCCAGAGCCCGCAGCCGTGGTAGTCCTGCAGCTGCAGTTTTTGTGCCTGCTTGCGGTCCCGAAGGTCACTTCATGCCCACACAGTGCCACAACCAGACCGGATATTGCTGGTGCTCCACGCCTGATGGCAAACCTGTCAGTGGTACCACGGCCCTCCATGTGATCCCCAACTGCACCGGTCAGTTATGTTTTATTCAAAGTATTACAGATTGTTGGCAAAAAAACCCCAAAACAACTTAACTGTGAAGGACTTTAAAATAGCATTTTTATGTATGTTATAAAAATGCTATTCTAATGCATGTATTTGATGTATTTTGGTGAGCTCACATGTCACGTATGGAAGCACTGATTTAATTTGCCTTATTTACTGTATTCAGGGTTTTCTTTGATGTCTTTTATTAAAACTGCTTTACTTTGTAATGAAACTCGAGTATTTTTGTTTGCATGAACTACTTTACCAGCATACATGTTGCTACCTGCAGCAGAGAATGAAGGAGTAATTTTCTTAAGCTCTTTTCATACATAAGTGACAGTTTCTCACATGTATCAGACAGCAGGAGATAGTCTACACTAATAGAGCACTAACAGTCTGTGCGTGGACTTGGTTGTGAAGTCTTCTGGTTTCATGCATTTCAGTAAAAGTAGCGATTGTTCGGTGTTTATCAGCTCCAAGTGTAACAACAATGGCTCAATTTCACTGTTGACGTCAGAGAAATGCAGATACACCAGCACTCGAGGATACATGCAAACAACAGCCAAGGCTGTGTGTAGGCCTGAAAAGGTGGAAGTCCTCTAATTCTTCAGAACGAATGTTGAACTTTAGTCTGTTGTCCACTCTGAGCTGTGCCTGTTATTCTGAACAGATCACCTCACCAAGCTCGTTCAGATCACCGATACAGATGCAACTCCAGTCAAAGGTAAGAAGACGCTTTATTTAAATTGCACAAAGGCAGTACTGTCCTTGCTTTAAAATAACTGTGGAGCACAGTGTGCACACACTCGTATGTTTCATTCACTACAGGTTAGATGTGTGTCTGTATGTTTCTCATTTGTCCTTCGTTCTGCCTTTTCCTGGCATCACACGCTGCTTGTTTCTCTGCCAGACACATCTGCAGGGACTTAATAATTCACAGAGCACTTCACATGCCAAGACTCTAAAAATGCCTCTTTGTCTGATTTTTCCCTCTACTCTCATTCTTTTTTGGGTCCTTTTTTACTTCTTTACATTATAAAACATAAAAATAGTACCAAAAAAACTCACCCAAGAGGAAAACAAACCTAATGCTCCATAACGTCTCCAAGATGTTCCACTCCAAGTCAGAAAAGGTTGCCAGGTTTGGTCTGCTCTAATTTAAAGGTCATTTACTCTGACATTCAGATTTTCTAAAGCAGCAGTCTCCATCAGGTTTATGCTCTTGTCCAGTCTGGCATACATAACTCTACTACGTGCTGCAGCAAAATCTTATACTGGCAGCATAAGTGTAGTTTTGGTGAGCCTTTATGGGTTTATAAAAGTTTTGTCCCCTTACAGATGCAACTGAGGATTTTTGGTAAAGGTTTGTTGAGCTGCTCTGCAGTGTCATGTAGAAATGTAGCACCTCCTCTAAGTTTCTTGTTAAATTTAAAGTATTTATTGTATTGTGTTTGTGTTTTAAGTTTTTAGATTGTAACTAATATTTATGGACATCTTCGCTGTATAAATCTCAAGGTGGAACATACCCGATTTCATAATTTCCTTTCTCTGCTTTTTCACATGCTTTCCTCCATCTGTCCAAACTATCCCCCCATCTTCTTCTTCTTCCATTCACTCTGTTTTCTTTTATTTCAGATGGAGACGTTGGACCTGGACCTACGCTGGACCCTAGAAAACCTGCAGGTGAGAAAATAAAAACTTCTTCTACTAAAGAAATTTTAATGCATACGTGGGCAGAACATAGCTGCTATGATTAACCACTGTGAAGCTCACTACATGTCATTTATATACCAGCACGTCAGTTTTAATTAAAGATTAGCTGTAAGTGAGGAACAGAAAGCTAATTTTCATGTTTTGTAAAGTGGAAAAACTTGAAACATACATCACATACAGGACTCAGAAAATTACTTTTTTTTTAGGAACTGGGGTATATATTGAATCTTCTAACAAATGTAAAAAATAAATTGATTATCATTTTACATGTATGGGTTTTAATTTGTTTCAAACAAAACCATATAACACACTGACGATACAGCAGAGGTTCCAGGGTCAAGTCTTTTCTGTTTCAACATTTTTAACTTTCCAAACTTTCCCTTTTTTAATAACAACTACAATGTGACAGTGCTGCTCATTGCTTTTTCACAGCATCAGATTTAACATAATATAATATATAATATGTAACATGGCACTGGTTCTTGAGAAAAAGGTCTTTAACCCTTTAAAGCCACCAGCGCGAACTATCGTATGTCCACCATGTCCTGCCCGAAACCGGAAGTGACGTCATTTTGCGGAAATGTAGTTTTTTACCATCAGGGCCTCATGAGCCTATACTGGTGTTTTTAAAAGTTATGTTTGACTTTATGACTTTCTGTGTCGTTTCTGGGATGCTTAGGACTCATATTGCACTGCTGGAAATAGTTTATTTTGATGCATATGCTGTTTTTTTGCAAATTTGCATTATAATATTTATTTTCGTTTTTCCTGCAGTATATAAAAATTGGTGTATTTCAAAAATAAAACTATGAAGACACTTCAAAATAAATTTCCTGTGGTGGGAAACTATTTTGTGCAACTTTTTTGTATTTACAGTTTTGAGGGATAAGCCTCTTAAATTTCTCTAACTAGAAATATATGTTAAAAAAACAAAAACGATTTTCAATTTTTTTGTAGTTTATTGCACTTTTTTGCAATTTATGTAATTACTATGCACTTAATGAATACATATTATTAAAATTTGGGCTATAATGGTTGTATTGATGTATAGCAACTTGAAATGCTCCCAAAAATGGCTCCACAGCATGTAAAAATATAATATAAGCTCTGGCGGACTTGGTTCTATGGTAGGTCTTAAAGGGTTAAACAAAACCCCACATAATGTTACTCAGAATCAAACAACATGGTGAAGATAAAAAGCACTGAGCAGCTACAGAGATAAGTCCTCGTGAGTTTAGAGTAACACAGTGGATGTGTGTGTTTGTGGGATACAGAAAGCAAATGTCAACTTATACGCCGATGACCTGTCAGTGGCTGTTTGCAGCTTGTTCCCTTTTGTGGCCCAAAAATTCGCTTTCGGTTTACGTTAAGATATATTTGGGTCAGTCCTGGGTGTTAAACAGTGGGGATGTTTTGATAAAGGGAAAAGCTCTGTGATCCTCCCAGTGTACTTGAAATATAATATAATATAAATATAACACATACGTATACTGGATGCATTTTTTTTCATGTCACGTTGTGTTATTGTAGCAGATATTCAGCTGAACGACCTCTAAGAAAAAGGGAAATACTCTGAAATCTTATTTAAAAGCTGTTTTTATTCTCATTCAGAGCTGACAGCGCCTCCTTTCTGGGTGACCATCCTGATGAACTCTGAGTCACGAGGAAACCGCTCACTCAGACGACCTCCTGGTAAGAGTCGTATATGTTTATATATGTATATGTATTCTCATATATGTACTCTTCTTTTAACGCTTAAAGTTTCATTCCACATATTTGAAACAGCCTTTGTGTGTATTTTATGTAACTTTACAGAATTGTTGTGATAGTGTGTGTGTGTGTGTGTGTGTGTGTGTGTGTGTGTGTGTGTGTGTGTGTGTGTGTGCGTGCATGCAGACAATCCTCAGACTTGTCAGCGTGAGCGAGCGTCTCTGCTCTCTCAGACTCGTCAAGCCCGGGAGGATGAGCGTTTCATCCCAGAATGCACTGCAGATGGGCGTTACAGCCCCGTGCAGTGCCACACTGCTACAGGTTACTGCTGGTGTGTCAGAGTGGACACTGGGAGGCCACGACCAGGCACCTCAGCACGGTAAGAAATCTGTTTGTTCGTTATTTAGCTCATTAGTGTGTTGGAAACTTGACTGTTATTCCTTTTAAAAACTTTCTCTTTTACTGTCTTTTCTTTTTGTTCACTCCTCTTATCCCCTGTCCTCCCTTCCAGTCGTCAGATTTGACTGGTTTTGCAGTCACAGAAGCATTTCATGTTAATCATATAATTTTACACCAATTACTATCACTGCTCCCTAGGTGGATTTGCCTTAAAGGAAAGACACAGAGCAAATCAGAATAAATTATGGTCGGACTTTCCTGTTCTCGAGGGGCTTTATCAGCGTTGTTGCTGCACAGCTGCTTTCAAACTCCTGGGAGCGAACTGGTGGATGTTTTCTTGTGATGGTTTTGGTTCACTGATGTGAGAATAAACTCCCTTAGGCCTAATGCGTTTTTTAAAATTCTTCTATCTAATGTCTAAGCACTTTATGTGGTTGGACTTCTAATTCTGTAAATAGAAATCACTGTCAGCCAATTAAATCAAACAGCTGTTTCCCCCTTTAGCACACAAAACAAATCAAAGCATCAGATTTGTGTACATGAAAATAAGTGCCAGTCATATTTTGCATTTATTAATTCAAATTCTACTGCTCAGTCCCTCTGTGACCTCAGTAAACCAGGATTTACAGTCTCAGCTGCTGGTTTCAGTCTGGTTTCAAAGGACCGAGATGACAGCGCTCACAATACTCAGCTGGGGCTTCGTCGCATTAATAAACAATAAAAAGCTAAAAATAAATCATGAAGTGAGATGAGCCATATAGAGTTTTTATTTTAATGTGTAGTTCCATGAAAATGTGATCAGTGATTCCAGTGTGTGTGTGTGTGTGTGTGTGTGTGTGTGTGTGTGTGTGTGTGTGAAGGAATGCAAATTGGATTGTTCTCACTTCA